GATATTGGTAAAATTTCAGAATTTTAATTTAATTTAAGAAAACCTCCATTATATATATTTTAGAAACGCAAAATGATTTTCAGATAGTAACTAATTAATATCTAGTAGGTATACTACAACCACTAAATGCTTTATATGAAGCTATAATAATAAAATAATGAAACCTATTTTAATGTTTATTGGCATAATTTATAAAACTTTACTTGAACTGAACTTCTTTATTCTGAAATATAAACTGATAAGCAATTTACTGTCTTCAAATTTAAATTGATGAAATAAAACTACACTTCCTGAAATTAAATAAAATGATCTGAAATACAGTTTTCAATAATACACCCAGAAAAGTTGTATATTAGACACAAAATGTGTTTGGTTGTTGGCATCTTAACAACATTCATCTGGAACTTCACACAAATCCTCGAGAAAAAAATCAATAAAATTATCACTCTCTTGCGCAACACCATCGATCAATAAACTATTAACTACCCAATAAATTAGGATACACCTCGCGCGGTTTCGGACAATTTTACGGGCCTATAAATTTCGTACGGATTTCTTCATCTTGTCCCACGGAAACAATTAACGCGACTAATGTAACAATCTCAGTTATGTTGAAAATCTGGTTGCTTTACAATGTAAATTCATTCATATATTCTCGCAATAAAACCTTATAAAAATGTTAAACGGTTTTTAATGGCCAGAGGCGATCGTAGGAATTCTTAATATCGGGAACGCGTGTTGAAACCGATTTAATCTCGACTATAATATTTATATAATTGTTATTTACGTGTAAAAGATGTGTCATTGAAAATTGTATTATATGCGGCGGTTCTTTGTTATTAAGAGACTCGATCCAGACGCGGTGAATCATTTTAATATGTCCTATGTGGGCTTCGTTAAGATCGTTAGGTTCGCCGATGATTATAATCACAAAGCAGTTTCTCAGAAACTCCTGACGATCTCGGTTCACCGTAACCTCAGATAACAGTTACCTCGACTGAGTGTTTCAACGCGATTGTTGCATTCATTATTCCCAATTGGATATTGCTACAATTATGGATAGAGGAAGTGTAAGATTCTTGTTCAGTTTAGAAAATAATATAATTTCACAAAGATGTGTGTCAGAATTAAAGATCGGAAATATTATTTAAACAAAAACTGACACCACCGAGCCATTGTATAATAACATATACATATCTGCCACTGATCTGAAGCTTCGCATCGATCAATTTATTCGATACGTATCTAGAGGCACGCCTTCCTTGTTAATATTGCGTATCGTGAGCGCAGCTTGACTATAGATTTAGCCTATTTCTGCTAGTAGAACCCGTACTAGTATAGATTACTACTCTTTATGTCTGATAAATCGCCACAAAGTTTCCGGTCTCTATACTCGACGGCCGAAATTATAGATAGTGATTCATCGCTAGCTCTTGGACTAGTAAGGAGGATGAGGCGTGCGGGGATCGAAAATCCATAGGCGTGTATACGTAAAAGGCAACAAGATGTAGAAAATATGGAAAAAATATAATAAAACATAACATCTATTATTTTTAGAGGTTTTATCGAGAAAACTTCAAAAATATTTTAGTAACATTTTGTTTTTAAATTTTAAGCGTTTTCTATCAAACGATGCCCTCTTGGGCGTCGATAACCCACCACCACCCGGCTTACGCCGCCGCAAAATATTGTAATGTTTACTATTAATATATTTATTTAAGTAGGTACTTACATATTTTATAATAATTATCTCACGAATATTATCACTTTCACTTCACTGCCACATAATCACTTCACTATTAATATATTTAAATACTTACATATCACATTATTCACATTATATATTTCACATATCACTATTGCTATCACTATCACTAGAATCATCTTCACCCAAATGAATAATGACTGGTTCTATGAATACTTCTACCGTTGTATCAAGATCCCACATACGTTGTTCCTCTTTCTGTGCATGTCCAATACACTTACACCATGTTTCAGCAGTGACGTGATTAATAGCATCCTGTAATAATAATTTCACGTCGTTTATTTTAATGGTGGTGTTTTTTCGTGCGATTTCATTCTTTATTTGTGCCCAAACCAACTCAATTGGGATTAATTCACAGTGGTATGGCGGTAAATGGAGTACACGAATTCCTCGATCTTTGACCATCTCATCCACTACATACTTAATGTATTGACCTTTTTCTATTTGGACAATTTTTAATAATTGTACTTATAGCATGGTTTCTGTATATTCAATATTTTTCGATTGTAACCAGTCCATAATATTTCCTTTTCTCCATGCTGATGTCGGTAACATTTCAACTCTTCTACTATGATATGATCAAACATATGAGATATGAGATATGATAAAACATATTCAAACCATTTTACAAACCCGTCGCTGTTCATATCTTCATGATAATCTCCCGTTTTTCGTGACTCAAATACATGCAAACCATTTTCTAAAAATCCCGTATCGCTTCCAATATGTGTTATAATCAATCTTCGTCCTTTTCCAGAAGGTGCCTTTAATCCAGTAGAAAATCCATCTAAAAATGCTTGTCTCTTACTCTTAACATTACCATCCTGCCAAACTTTTGATACAGTATGACTTTCGTTCTTCTTACCAGATGCACGAAGTTCTCTTATTTTTTCTAAGTATTCTCTTCGCCATACCACAATTTCGTCTTTTTCAACGAGCATACTATTCCGATTCCGTTTCAAATATCGAAAATTCATGTCACGCATTATTCTTCCAAGAACCTTATCAGAGAAATTAGGAATATCATCATCTTCAGCTATTGCAGCTTGAATTTTCTTTATCGTTGGTATTTCATTTCTAAAGAAAAATCCATGAATTTTCCTACGTATGGAGTATTTCACGTCAACGTCGACTTCTATTTTCTTCCTCCCTCGTGTTTCCACTTTTTTCTTCTTTGGAATCACTTCTACACTATTTTTTATGGCACGATAAACAGTAGCAACGGATACTTTTGTCAACGAACTACACATATCAACAGCTTCACTTACACTTGTGTGTAGTTCACTTAGAATTTCGCGACCGAATTCCTTTATACACGTTTTTTACCATTATTAACTCCGCATCGCATAGGTTAGGGCGTTTATGAGCAACAGACCGTTTGCTACAACCGGCACTTTGATCCATTTTAATTATTATTCCTACGTTTTAAAACATCCCGATTGTATTTTTTTAATTTGTAAATTTACTATAGTCACGGAATATGCAAACCCTCGCGCGCGCTTATAGTTTGACGTTTCTGACTACGGCTAACTCGAATTCTACGTACGTCCGTTTACACCCATTAAAAAGAGCATTTCCCTATCTGTAATAAGTGCGATAAACAGAGATAGGAAATAAATCGCGTTCAGTGTAACTCAGTCTATGACTGTTATAGATCCTATCGATGTGAAAAGAGAGCGGCACATCATTTAACATAAGCAAATAATATTGAACCGTTATAAAAATCATTTTAAGTTTTATACACTTTACGGTAATAGTGTTTCTATATTATGTTTGAATCACTATGTATATTTTCGGCCGTCGAGTATAGACATAATTTACCATGAAATATAGTATGGCAGAGCGAGTAAATGGAAAGTTATTTTCCAATAAAAATATTTTTTATATTTTTCACTTAAAAATTTCCAAACGTCTACCTTGTTATTTTCGAATCTTCTAATCATGCAACATTATGGTTTTACAACGTGTGCATTATATTAGTTTTTATATCATCGAGGTGCAACAAAAGGCTTAGTTTTCGATTCAGTTTAAACAAACTTTAAACATTTTAAGACAAATATTTCTACCTCGAAAATTTTATTAAATGTTACAGTTTTGTTCATAATTAAATATACAAGATGTACTTTAGCTGTGAAACAATATCTAAACATTGTATATCCATTTTATTTTACTGAATTTTTAATATTAAATACATATAATTTCGTCCTATTGCTTTACCAAATGAGGTATCTGTCATCATTGAAGTGACGTCATATGCGGAGTGTTGAGGCTTTATTATTCTAAGGGACAAGAATAGCTTATTTATTAGAAAATATGAAGTTTCAAAAAGTAACTTTTAATGACAGTTCAGTAATAAACATTGCTAATATGTCATTCTACTCGTATTCTATCACCCTCTAATCAATATAATCTGCAAAATATAGCAACTAAAATGAAGTTAAGTAAGTAGCACAATTTGATAAATTGCAATAATTTTACTTAACATATTAGCTATACACTATACAGGGCTTGTATAAATGATGCAAATATATTTTGTGCAAATAGAATATTTTTGTAATACTTACCGACTTACCACAGTACTATTGAAAGTACGTTATATACATCCTCTACAAAATTTTATACACACTGTAAAATTGTTAATATCAATATTCCTCGATAATTTACATTACACATTAAGAGTGCTTATAGAAAAATCTTAACTGTTTACAATGATTCATTTGGTATGGAAAAGCCAGATTTATTCGCATAAAATCCGGGTTTTTTTGCTTTGGAAAAATTTAGTATACCGATACACGAATGTTTTTTTTTAAACGTATATTACGACCCAAACCAATAAGTCCAACGTCTTCTATTTCTTCTAATATTCAGAAACATGTAGTAAAAATTCCTAAAGCTGCTTTACTTTAGAATATATTCTTTGAAATACTTTGGCATTGGCATTTTGTTTAAGAATATTTGTATATGACATTAGTAGGCTCAACATTTCACGTTACTAGTTTTAAATCTTTCTTCTATCTCAATACAACAGTCACGAAATCCATTCTCTACTTTAGATCAATCTCACACTTAACTACAGTAAATAAGCAAATTCAATTTATTGTTTACGTATGCAAATCATTTAAACATGCCACCTCTTCATCCTGTTGTAGCCACGTTAACCATTTGAATATCGTAACATACTTATCACGTAGCAATATCTCAACAACAATATCACAATACCGTTTCTTTGTTCCAGGACGAAATGGAAACGCCAAACAGCCGTCGGCCTGGAACTCCTAGCCGAAGCTGGTAACTACGCGGCCTTCCAAAGGCTGTATGGAGCCCCAGCTTACGGTTGCTGGTACCCCCCACAGACGGCTGGACCTACGGCAGCGCCAAGCGCGGCGGACATCTACTACAGGCAGGCAGCAGCAGCCGCAGCTGCCACCTTACAGAAACCTTTACCCTACCGACTATATCCACCAGGTATGGGCCTTGGGATCCCAGGTCCCAGCGCACATTTAGGCTCCCTGGCAGCTAGCAGTTCCCTGAGCACGTTGTCTAGTTATTATTCTAGCCAAACCCCACCTGACGGACCTTCGCCGAGGTCGCCCAGTCCCGACACCCCTCTAGATCCCGGTTCACCAGGTACGGGAGGCAGAAGGTCGCCTTCCGAAGACGAAGACACGATTCACGTCTGAGGAGGGCGCGGCGGCGGTTTCGATATTGTGATATAACTTGTACTATAGCTGGACTTGTTAATTTATTTTGCGCTTTTAAGTGTTGTGTAGACTCGTAAGAGATGTATAGATGAGTACGGACGATTTTTGTAATTAGACAACTGTCGTAAATGCGGGCTTTATGTAAATTTTATCAACATTCCACACGACGATCCGCCCTAGGGGCATGTATTATACTGTAATGAGAGACGTATGTTGTATATGGTTTTTATTTCCTTCTGTTTATTTTGCTCGATGAGTATGTTTATTCATGTTAAATTAGAAAATATAGAATAAAGGACTTTAAGTTTTTATTACCAAGACTCGCCTTTTATTTCTCTAATATTGCAAGTAGTACAGTTGAACACAAAAAAAGTTTCCTACCTAAAATGTTTAAGTAAGTTAAACAAAACCAGTGGAACCCAGTTTTATAAAGAGGCGTAAGCAGTCTAAAAGCTAGTCCTTCTGGACGCAAAATGCCAAGATTTTTATCCGAATTTCACAGTTTTACAAAACGCAGATTTCAAATAATGTAATGGGAATTTAAGGTTGTTTCTTTCCCACCTTTTAGTTATTTACTTTTAAGTGGTTTCCTTGAAGTGAAATTTTATACAAAAACATTTTGGTTCTGTTATAATTTTGTGACTGGTTTGAAAAAAAAGGATATTAATGGATATAATAACAACCTAAAATATTATTTTATAATATTTTAGTTATAAATTCACTCGAAAAAAATTTATAACTTACATTTGGCCCTAGTGTTTAAAAAAAAATCAGAAATCAAAATTGAAACAATGAGCAAAAAGGAAATTATGGGTACGAGACATATTTTTAAATCAACAGAACATGAAATTTTCATAAATTAATTTTAGAGAAGAGCATTTAAGCTGCTACATTAAGGTAAGTAATAATAGTAAGTTTTTAGTACGTTTTCTGTGCAATTAATGAGAAAAATAGCCCAGTCATTATAAACATGAAAGAGCCTATTTCGGGAAAAAAAAATACTATTAGAAGTTTCTCTGCGGAATATTGTTCGGAAACCTGTTATAAATAAAATATCAAAAAATCAGCTCGAGGCTAGTTGGGAAACTTTGTTTAAACAATGGTCAAAATTATGGAAAAGTGGTTTTTTGACTCACGTAAAAAAACTATTATTCATAGCGAAAAAAAGTTTATACAAAAAAGGTAGGTATTAAATAAACCTATAAAATGAGAAAAGTCCGATTAAATTCCGATAATTTGTTTATGCACAAGAGCTCAAAAATGGTCGAAAGTTGCAGTTTTTTTCAATTGCTAATAATTAATGCAATTTTCATCGTAGACACTTGTAATTCAGTATTTTTTAGGCTTTTTATACCCTTAACAAGTGGTAAAAATTTCAGCCTGAAAGCCTCATTGGTTTGGCGTTGGCGGAATTTGTTATCTAAGAAGATGCTATTTTCAATTCATTTTTCCCAAGCTCACAGGCGTTGTAGAGTTTCGATCAATAGTTGTTTTTGTACCTAAATAGTTGTATTGACATATGCATTTACTGAGAATTTAGTTTTTCAAATTTAATTTGTTTAAAAATGACTGAAAAAAATGTTAATATTTATTAAATTTTTGAGGTTAAGGAAAATCCTGAAGTGATGGAGTATTTCTGATGGCTCCATCGTCTTCAGCGGGTAAAAATACAGGGGTGTATCATACTCTGTTAAAATGTTTTTTCGGGTTGTTATGCCGACGCCTATGTACCTCAGGCCGCCCGACACACTTCCATAGCCTTATTTAAGAATCTTTAACCCGCCCTTGTTGTTCTCGGGCTAGGCTCTATATAGGCGGACAGTGTTGGGATTATGGGTAGAACTAAAACACTTTAATAATCAAAAGATATTGTTTATTCACTTATTCAGACATCACATCTATCCTGTGTCAAATCAGATTGAAAACTAAAAACTCTCTCTTAAGCTTAGTGCTACAATATATCTCTGTATGTTTATAAGCATTTTTAATTTATGGGCAAGAGCCCTTGAACCTGAGAAATATAAACACATTAAAAGTAGGCAGTATCTTAGGATGGGAATGTTTTTGTATAAGTAACTTGAGTATCTTTCAACAGACAGGCTATCAGGACCCCTAGTCCTGCCCTGATGATGATTTCGGTTCTCATTGTTGGTTCTAAGACCGCTTAGGACCTAACCATTTCTCAGACTATATTATACAGGGTGTCCGGAAAGGTCATGTCAAAAATGAAGGGGTATACAGGGGAGCTCAAAATAGTTGTAGTACTTCATATTTTTTTTTCCTATCGGACTTCTTTGTGGAGTCAAAGAAAGAAGTTTGAAAACATATGCCAATTATAACTTCTAAGTCGTTACCATGACAACAATGAAATTTGGGCGCAATTAAAGTAACTCATGGTAATGTTCATTTCTAAGTTTAAACTGGTATTCAATATGCCTGGATTATACAGGAGCAGACGAAATTATCCATTTAAATTTAGACATATTTGGCAGCGTTGCCAAATTTGACATTTTTCTTTCATAATTCGATTCTTCTCTCACTTTGTCTAAAACAAAGGTGTACCGTATAGCAGTCGATATCTTGTACGATTTTTGAGAAAATCGAATTTTATTAACAACAGACATGCATTGTATCAAAAATGCGACATTAACATTTTTGTAAAAATCTTACATTTTGATACGATAAATGTATGTTGTTAATAAAATTCGATTTTCTCAAAAACGGTACAAGATATCGACTGATATATGGTATAGCTTTTTTTTAACAAAGTGAGAAAGGAATCGAACTATGAAAGAAAAATGTTAAATTTGGCAACGCTGTCAAAGATGTATAAATTTAAATGAATTATTTTTGTCTGTTCCTGTATCATTCAGGCATATTGAACATCAGTTTAAACTTGAAAATGAACATTACCATGAGTTACTTTAATTGCCCAATTTTCATTGTTGTCATGGTAACGACTATGAAGTTATAATTGAATTTGTTTTTCAAACTTTCTTTGAAGGCGAATAACTCCACAACGAAGTCCGATAGAAAACATTTTTTTACGAAGTACTTCAACTATTTTAAGCTCCCCTGTACACCCCTTAATTCTTGACATGACCTTTCCGGACACCCTGTATACGTGAAAATCATAAAGTACACAAGTTTTATATTCATTTTATTCACTATTACTATAATTTCTTTTTGTTATTGTATGTATTAATACTAGAGTACCTCTCTGCAATGACTTGAAGAGTAATATTATTAATATATTTTGTACGGTATGAAAAATAATTCTAAATTATCAATTCCATCTATCAGTAAAGTAGTTTCTAATACAAACAGTGTAGAAAATTCTACAAAAATTGCCTAAACTATATTATAAAAACTTCTACTTAACAAGGCAGTATATAATTTTGTTCTTCTGTACCATGCAACACAACTAAAGCAGTAAGTATGTTGAAATATTCGTGTAAAATGTCTGTTCTATGAAATACGAAACCGTGCACTTTTTCTAAAAGAACTATACTAGCTCCTCCAGCAAATACAGAAGGTTACATGCTTCAAATTTCTTCACATTAAAGTAGAAAACGGTCAACGACTCTGTTGCACATTGCGGCGACCATAATTTATAGTAAACCATTAAATTAAATGTCCATGTCGTGTCAACGGGGCCTTCATATTTGTTATTAAATCAACTTCTTACGAGACAGCTGCCGCTGTTTTAAATTTGATTGGAATTTATCAACACTACTTAAAGGTACCAGCTAACAGTGGCAAAGGCATATTGCCATTCAGTTACAAACTTTTAAGGCAAAAAATATTGTTCAATAAATTATAAATAAGCGCCTGTCATAATATTTTTTGGTTGCAAAAATAAATAATTCTAAAAGCTACTTGTACCATGTATTGTTGCGTTTTCTTAAGAAATGGTGTTACTCAACAATCGTTTATATCAAAACTATGAATGCTGGACACTGACTAAAAATACCAAACTGCTTGATGATTCTGCTTCACTTAAATCGACAAACATTTTCGAACAAATACTGAATCTGTAGGCATCTTGTTTGCCTTGAAGTTTATTGAAATATATTCCTGATGCATTTATGATCTCGTTTATCGACCAACAGCTCTATTATAATAAGCATAAAGCCATATAAAGTAGCAGTAAATAATAATAAAATCGTGTTAATGATTCAAGTTGTTGGCCAGCCATCAACTACTGCTATTATATCAGTAAAAAGTCTTTAATATCAATTCACAAAACGTAATTTATTACAACGTGTAAAGTTATAACTAGCACGTTTACTAATATTTTAGTTTGTTACCGTTATTTGCGTTTTTTTTACGTGTCCTCACCTGGTTGTGTCAAAATAATTATTCCAAAACAGCGAAGCCATTACAAACACGCTAAACAGTCCAATTAGGAAATAACCTTAATTCCGCTAGTGTTATGTCGTAAAAAAAAAGCATAGCTGTAATGGAACATTATCTCGGACTGATACGCTCCAGCGATTTAATTGAAAAGAGAGCACTGATTTCCATATTACATCTAAACAATTACCAAAAATTAACAAAAAAGAAATTAACATAATTGTGGGAGTGTTTCCAAATGCGATGCGAAAGCGGGGTCATAAAAAATTAGCTTAACACATCAAGCCATTGATGTGGGTAAAATACTTCTTCATAGTCCAGTAACTCAACAGATTTTGAAAGGAAGTACGCAGGCTTAGATAGATCGGTGCTTTCATACGCTCTTGGATCATATTAATGTTCATGTTGCTTACAGTAGCAGCAACGAAACGGCTTATCTTGAGATTTACATATTTTACGTGCGAAAAACACCGCAATTAATTTCATCGAGGTAACAAAACCCATAAAATTATTAATCATAATTAATTTGTTCTCTTATCACTGTTATCAATCATATAACAGATCACTTGCAAGCTGCTCTTATGCTAAATTATGTAGGAACATGTTTATGACGTGATGGAGAGTGTATATTCAATATGATTATTATGATTAAGATACGGTGCATACCACAGAAATATTCTACCATTTCTGCAGACTGTACAGGGTTAGTCACTATAATAATAATACTGTTTAATAATAATGTGACAACTTATTGTAAGTTTATTATTGAAAGTGAAGACTTGTTAAAGTTAAGAATGATTTTTATTATCATAAAATAAACGGATAACTTCAAATTTTTCTTTCTCATTAAACATTACTTCTTTGTTAAAATAGTTTGTTATAGGAAATAAATTAATGATGATTATAATTGATTAATAAGCTTTTGTCAAAGTCA